TGTCCTGGGAATTGCAATCATTCTGTCTTAAGTCCTGTGAACTCCTAATTCTTATTCAACTTGAAAGGGAAAAGCTGCTTGACAAGCTCAATAAATCTATTATTTAGAAATCATTTTCAGACTCAAGTTTCAAATTATAAACTCTCAAAAACAGGGAAAATTGTGAAATTATCTTTCACAAAGAAACCACTGAAATCTACTGCAAAATGTAAGTAAGAACATCAAGCAGTATATTCAGGTTTTGTTTCTTTAAAGGACTTGATAACTTAAGTTCTAGCTAAAGAGCAAATGTATGAAATTATAATAATGAGAATTAGAAAAAAAACAAACTTCTGGAAACATTCAAGTATCTCAAGTTTTAGGCATCCCTTTATAAAAGTTAACTTACAGAAAGAGTTGCAAAACATGTATGGATGATCTCCTTTCAAAAATTTTGGTTTAATAAAGGATCTAGAGGAGCGAAACAAATCCCTGAAGGATGTGATTTATTTCTTGGCAGATAAGCAAGGCACAAACATGCTTTATCAGACCTTTGGACATATTTACTCAGGGACTCACTTTTAAACTCATTTTATTATTGAGTCAAAAAGCTTTCAACAGCAGGATAGATTTTTAAAAGTCACATTGTGGAAAAAATATAACTGTTGATTCTAATGATGCTGCACATAAAACTGTTGTAATCAAAACTTGTTTTAGAGCTACCTGAAGAGAGATCCCTTCCCTTCAAAAGGGGATGTCTTCCATGTGTGTATTTCTCTAGCACACAAATACAGATAAAAGTATAATATTTCAAGAAACAGTTGCATCTTGTTAGAGCTCGCTGTCACTCACTGCAAATGTGTTTTTAGGAACTTCATGCTCTTAACATAATTGTCAATAGTTAGTTACATCTGCATAAGTTAGCTAAATAGTGGCTATTAAAAGAAAATAATATACACTACATAAGAAAACTGTTAAAATGTCGAAAGTATGCATTTTTAAACAAGCGCCCCCTAATGTTTATTGAAGACTTCCTTTACACTGTTGTTTTAATTATTTTACACAAAATATTACTGTGACTGACAGAGGTCCACAATATCTAAATGTTAACTTATGTGATGTGTCAAGTTTCAAAAGGCTGCTAAGGAAAGCTTGAAAATACTTCCACACAGTCAATGCAACCCAAGGAGATAATCTGCCCTGTAGATAAATAAGTATGCTATTAGCTAATGCTCTAAGTTAACATGCATTAAATTTCCTGGGATGGTTGTTTGAAACACAAGTCTTCCTTGCTGGCAGACAATATTAATAACCTAAATTTTCAACCAACTAAAGCTATCTTTAAATGGTTTACTTGAACTACATTTTATAGACCTAAATATAGAAGTTCGGTATCTTTTTGGGTCAAAGCATTGTAATTCCAGATGTCACAGATTTTCATATAATATGGGTGATGATCATAAGAACTGGCTAGCCTTCTTTATAATCCACCTTCAAGGTATAAAGTTGCACATTGGGTATAAATAACATGAGATCATAGGTCTAGCATAGATTTAATATTCCCTAGTCACTGTTCTTTATTTCTACGGTTAATTAATTTAAACTCAAGTTCCCTGGAAAACATTTATTGAAACATTTCCGGTTTCCTATCAAGAAATTTTGTTTACAAAATACACACACGAAATCTGCCTTCTTGAGATTCTGGAAGGACTTTGGAATGGAAAAGCTGATTACACAACAACAAAAAAGGTAAAACACTAACTCAACTCTAAAAAGTTATGCCTTCATGGAAGTAAGACCTGCCTTTATACCAGCACCAAGACAATGTTTCTGCTATTGGAAAGAAAGTTATACATGTGAGGGAATTAGGAGAGAAGGAGAAGTGAACAAGGAAAATATTAAAAGATCTCAAGAAAATATAAAATTCAAGCACCTGCATGATCTGGTAGTTTACTAGACACTGAAAGAAAACAGACCTAGGAACATGAAACCTTAGATGGGAAGTCAGGTGGTAGGGAGAAAAAACAACAGAAAAAGTCTTTCAGTTTCATCATCTAAAGTGTTACCTGCAACTACAGGTAGGTAAATCCTGCCTTAAGAAAAACATGGAGCCCTTTGAAGAAGTCAAAAAGAACATGAATAGCAGCAATACAATTTATAAAGACTACCTGGATTTCAAAATGACTTCTGAAAGAAGTTATTCAACAAAGGCTTTTTACTGAACTAAGCAGCCATGAGATAACAGGGAAGGTCTTGGCACAGACAAACAGCTAAGTAAAAAGAAATAAACAAAGGGCAGGAGTAAATGGTCTATTCCTATCTGAGGAGATGTTACTGCAAATTTACAAAGTCTGTGCTGGAGACTGTGCTGGTGAGCATATTCAAAAGTGATCTGGAAAAGAGAGTTAGTGGCAGGATGACCAAGTTTACTGAGTTAAGACATTCAAGGTAATAAGAGATGATAAAGACTTGACAGAAGGATCATATGGTACTGAGTGACAATTTAATAAAATAAAATTCAACACAGGTAAGTGTAAAGTGATGTACATAATGGAAAACAACCCTAAATTGTATAGAAGAAGATGGGGCTCCAAGCTAATAACACTTACCCAGCAAAGATGTTGGATTTATGACAGATAGTTACAAAGAATCAGTTTAGTACTTGGCAGTAGTCAAAAGGCAAATCAAACAATCCAGAAAGGAAGAGAGAATGAAAGAGAAAACATCATGGCCCAACCACAGGATAATTCAGCTCAGAACGGACCTCAGAACTGCATCCAGGCCAACCTCCAGCTCAAAAGCAAGGTCAGCTTTGAGAGCAGACCAGCCTGATCAGGGCTTTGTCCAGTCGCATCTTGAAGACCTCAAGGACAGAGGCGCAACAACCTTGTGGGGCAACCTGCTCCACTGCTTGACTGTCCTCAGCACGAAAAAGTTTCTCCCTACAGCCACTATGAACCTCTCTCGTCTCAACTCACACCCACTGTCTCTCATCCTCTCGGTATATCACCTCTGGTTGGTCCACTCAGTACCTGCACCAAGGAGTTGTTCCTGATACCCTTCAGAAATCTCTGGTGTGCTTGCATCCTGCTGTGTTGCCCTTCCAGCAGGTGTCAGGGTGGTTGTTAAAGTCCTCCACATGAACTAGGGTCTGTGACAGACTTTGAGTTCTTCACAGAAGGCTTCGTTCATCTCCTCACCCTGATCTGATGGTCTGTAACAGACTAGCCAGCGGCATCTTTACCAGCTTTTCCTCTGATCCTGACCCACAAATTATCATCTTGTCCCATATAAGTACTGTATGCATCTGAGCTGCTCCCTCACATAGAGGGTGACCCCCTTCCTTGTCATCCATACTTGTCTTTCTTGAAGAGCCTGGCATTTGTCCATGACAGCACTCTATGAATTCACAGTTCACCCACAGCTTGAGTACTTTCCTGGTTGCTCAGCTTGGAAGAGACCATTGACATGTTGAAACAAAAATATGACAGAAGTCTACATAGCTGTAACAGCAATCAACTTTTAACTACCTGTTCCATCAGGAGACAAGGGGGTCATCCAATAAAGCTAGTTGGTGCCAGATTCAAAAGCAAACAAAAAGGAGGTGGTTCTTCATGCTATGTAGAGTATAACTATGCAATTCCTAGCAAAAGGACCATATGTATGTAAGAAAGTTGCAAGGGTTCAAGGAAAGACAAGTACTTAAAAGGGGGAGAGCCACTGGGGATTACTAACTAAACAAACTGCAACCGGACCAAGAAATCCACTGGGCCAAAAGTAGTTGGAGGCTTGGGGCCGTTTTAAGAGAGCAGTATCATACATAGTTATCTTGTTTGTACTCTTCCTTAAGCATCCATTTGTGGCAAGTGTCAGAGACAGAGCAGTGAACTAAATGAGACTCTTTGCCTGAAGTATAAGAGCTATCATTATGAAAATAACAATATTAGTTTATCCGAAGCGCTTGACAGTGGTTTGCTGAAAACAGGTATTTAAATATTTAGTTTGCTCTGTCTCAAAATGCCAGACTGTATCAAGAGTTACAATATGCTGAATTTACTTCTCGTAAATTAAAACAATCCCTACTATCACATTTCAGTTTCATTCACAATTTTCTGTGGGTTTACAGGCTATTGAAGATACCCCCAGAAGTATAAAGATTTAACAATCACTGCAAAAAAAATCTCTCAAAAGAAGCATTCATAAAGTTTATGTACAAAGAATACTTGATATTACAACATTAGACTTCACTAGACAAGTTACCATATCTGTGTTCGTTTTCCCATTAATCATATTCTTTAAAGAAATAAGGTGGCTTCTTCTACTTAAGTGAAACAAAAATCCTCTAATATAGCTAGCTGAACAAAGCTATTATTACAAGTCAGCGGTCAGCTATATATACTCACAAAAACAGAATAACAGCACATAGTAGGTAAAGCAACGCCAAAACAGATACAACTGCATCCATATCAGGTCTTCACTTTCTTCCATCTCAGGTTCTCTTCTCTGTTCCTTATTCCTTTTTTCACCCTACTCAGCCAAACATCTCCTTGCAGCTACTCTAGTAAGTATTCTATGACTGAGGGCATCTCATTTCCGTTACCTACACTGTCAGCTACTGCCTTTCAATCTTTTGCATATGTTACTTTTAATATTAGAAGTTTGTTCCACATTCATAATCCAATTTTCACAGGTGTTTAGGCATCTGCAACTGTCACTGAAGTCAGCATGAGCTGCAGGCACTCAAGATCTTCAGACGTTTAGCCCCTTGCCTTCAATGAGTTTTAGTAAGATATATTTATTTTAAAGCTTCACTCACTTACACTACAGCACTTACTACATTTCAACCAGACATACGCATGAACGTGTTTAGATATGCAGTAAATAAGTAATGCTCAAATATGCCTCATTCAGTGGTCTAAACTTTCCAGGAAAACAACACTAAGATGCTATCCATTTTGGATAATTCACCTAACATTAAATCCAAGAAACAGTATATATAGCTAATCAAAGAAGGTTCTTACCTGAATGACAGCACTAAACCAGCATGTGTTGCCAACATTCTTTAATCCTACTGGACAGTTGTCTTGCCGCTTTCGATCATAAGGGTTTGGAGAGTCGCTCCACACCTCTGGATGCGTCCTCTTTAAACTTGCTTTATTTTCTGCAATACTGGCCTCTAGAACTCTTCAGAACAGAAGAGAGGGAAAAATGTGAGAAAAAAGTAAAAAAGACATTGTAAAACACCTTTAGTTACAGATGATGCAAGCATCATAATTTCAGCATAATTTGTTGTTGCTGAGCTTGTTTTCGAAGAAGATTTATGTGTAATAATATAGCTTCACAAATAGGATGCTGTTTTACTCGTAGGTATATTACAGTTACTCTGTTACCTTTTGGAAAACAGTACCAATGAGTGAGTGAGAAAATCTCTTATGAGAGCTCTAGATACAACAATCATGTCTATAAGAAGTCAATTACTGAAGAACCAGATTCAAATGGGATGAACAGCGAGAAATCTGAGGCAATATTATTAGTCTGTCATACAGTGCTTTCACCTCTTAGTACTATGTAAAGCACAAAGTAAGCACAAAGTAACCAATATTTATTTTACTGATGGGAGACCAAAGTCAACTAGGTAACTTTCAGAAAAATGGAAGCCAGCTCTTTAATTTCCATTTCTGCATCTTACGTCACTGTACTAATTGCTTTACATAGCAAGTAATTACTTTATGAGCCACGGGAAAATAGATCCCACAATTTTTAAATTGTCACCCCACAAATTAATTGTATACCACACTGCTTGCACAAAAACTGTTCCCACATGATTTATACAGAAAGTTCATATTTCACATGATAATAAGATCTGACAGGTGTTATATTCCCAGACCTAAGCTTCACTCAACACAGTATTTGTACATCAGTGCATATCCTTAGTCTGCTGACAAATAACACCTTAAAGGTAATTTGTGGCAGCTAGGTATTCTATATAGAAAGATACATACCGGATACATTAAAGTCATAGAACAAAGACTCTAACTGATAAGCAAATCTGTCTGGCTTGGGGACAGTTGACAAGGTGACTGCCCCCACCCATCCAGTCAGAATATTACGCAAATGGCTGAGCTGCTACTGAGCTACTAAGTTCACCCAGCACAGGATTTCAGGAGTTGCATGACAAGCACTTAAGTTGTATATGTAGTCCGAAGGGTCATCTTCATCTGTTCTAGACCAACCAAACGTCAAAGAGAGGCAGGTTTAGGCTGGTCTTTGAACAGAATTTCTAAAGGGTAAGATTTGAACACCTTAAAAACAAAAAAACAAAAAAAAATCATCGAAACACCCATATCATGTATCACCATTTCCCAATTGGATATTTTTGCTTCAAACTGTTCCTGTAAAAATAACAAAAGGGTGTCTTACAAGACTTGCAAGAACTATGAAGCACTACATGAACTTACTGAAGATCAGCTGCTTCAGGGAACATACTGATTTGCTATGTTATGCATTTTGAAAGAATAGGAACATTCAGAATTTAAGAGCCCATTTGGTATAAAAACTACGTTTGTAACAATAAATCTTGGAAGAACCTGAAATTTGGAATTACCTTTGGATTAGTCAGTTTCAAACATTTGATTTTTGACAGATACCCTTGTAAATAGAACATCCTTTACCAAAAAGCATTGAAAGTACATATATAATCTTTGAAGACTTTGTGCTCTGTTACTGCTGTTGAGTAGAGACCACTGACATCTCTGCAAACAACGCATAGTGATGTAACTTGACTCTTTAGTGGTACACAAAGACTCTTACACATGGGTCATGTAACACTCACGGAAGGAAACATCATCATTGTTAGCGTAACTTGCTTTGAGAGCACAAGTTATAGGATGATGACATTAAAAATGAATTCAAAACAAATGTCACATACATTTAAAATAATTTCTCAGCCAGAAAGAATGATCTAAACTCTAGTTTAAAGTAAATTGAAGGGAACTTTAAAATTGAAGGGCTTTGACAGGCTAGAACACACTCAGAATAGTATTCTATCAGGACGACTGCATATATACAACGCTGCTTGTCCAGCTTCGGGAAAGATGGCCAGGCTAGGCCAATGCATCTTTCTAGGCTGCTTTTTGCAGTAGAGCTCTGCTAAGCCCCATCTGCAAATCAAAGCTGGGACCCTCAAGTTACCTGCCCAACTAAGGGAGGCTGGTTTTCCTGGCACAGATGCAGGAAACAATCATAGGCCCTTGTACCTCACACAGAAGTATAGCCCAAGAGTAGTGGCATTTATCAATTAAATTACTTATTAAAATTTCTCCCTTGTGTTTGTTTTCATATTTCTGTAGCAGGAGAGGGGTTTCCTCCTCCTTGAGAACTCCCTCTCAAATCTGTTTTCATATTTTAATAAAGTATTTAGTTCTTATAGGTCCATGCTATTCTTTCCCAGCAACAGAGAACCAGATCCTGTGAAAAGATCACATTATCACATTCTCTCTCCTCTGGGAGCACATGCCATACCTGTCCACCTTATAAGTCAAATTAATTTTCAGCTACAATGATAGCTGTGATGTAATCTAAAATAATGGTGAAGCATATTAAACAGGAACCTAATGATCAGCTCAAAAGCTGCCCACCAGGAATCTATTCACCAGTATAGTGAGTACCCCTACTTCTCTTATACTGTAATCTCACTACAGCCCAAACAATGTGATTTGGGAGGCTATCTTAACAAAGCATCTTACTAAGGTGTTGTTGTTCAATCAAATGAGTACCTTTTCAGAATGTCAGCGCAAGGATTTAGCAATCCTAATTAAGCTGGCAAAATACACTCTTCAAAACCATTAACAGAGACCATACTGTGGCTGTCTTATAGCTGGACATCCAGAAGTCCCTCCCAACCCTACCTCCCTCTCCGGTTGCACATTTTATCTGCACAGATAATGTATACCACAACACAGAGTCTCCAGTAATTTCAGTGACCATGTAAAGAAAATGCCCAGGGGTTGGGCACATCCACATGCACTGAGCATGGACTCTCATTCAAACATGAGCACTACTGTAGACACAACACACACTGTCAGCTAATTTCTCCCTTTAGTCATCTTACTGGTCTTCCCAGTGAACCCCTATCTGGCCAACCTCATTCTCCTTCAATCCATAAATTGTATTATTAACAGGAAAAACTTTTTCATATTAGTAAATGCACTGAACGTAAACATATCATTGAGAGATTTAAAGAGGGAATACTAAAAGTTTCAAACATGCCATGCACAAGATGTTTAGCTTGGACACTCTCGGACACTTCAGTTGTATTCCTCAACACCTACAGAGTAATCAGGTCTGTCCCCACTAAGTAGCACAAAGCAGTTACATTCGGGAAGATAAATTCTACATTCATTCAAAATTAATTACACATGTCAAGAAATGCCAATAACGTTCCCTGGGGAACTTTAACAAAATCAGTGCAAGTTAGGTTCTAAACCACTACACATACCTTTGAAAAAAAATCTTCCTCCACATCAAAAATTATTTAAGTATGCACACATCCTAATTTATTAAAAAGATTTATGTGCTTGAATTAAGTTATTATTGAGCTCCTATTTGATTTCTGCTTCTTATTTAACTTAGAAAAACAAAAGTAAATGACTGCAGCTTGACTTGTTTACAACCACTGTGTTTTACTTTTTGTTTTTAGAAGTCTAACATGCACACTGTTTTTTATTGGAATGCCAACATTCTTCTGTGGGGTGTTAACCAGGAAGTGATTTGTTTTTAAAACAATTTGAAGTCCAATCCTTAAGAAAATTGACTGAATGGTTCAGAGCAAGAATTCTGAATTTCCTGTATTTGTACCACTCAGAAATAATTTGCTATCAACTCAGGGCATATCTTGATAAGTAACTGAATTGATCTAACACCTCAGTGCTGCCAAAAAATCCAGGTTCTCTCTCTTCTCTGCCTCTATCCACAAACACAAAATCCTGCAGACTTTCTTGTGCCATGGCACTCTTTGAATCTTTTAGTGAATATTTTTGTTTGGGTTTGTGAACTGGATTGGCCCAAAAAACCCTGCAAAGAATACTACAGCAAGAAAAAGAAATGTGGTATGGGTACGAGCCATATCCCTCCCGATAGCAAAAAGCTCTGAAATTGGCACACACATCTTTTGTAATTGTGCCATCAAATATATGTCTGTAATATAGCTTTGTCAAAACAGGACCAAAGTTTTTCTCTGTATATAACTGAACAGAGTGCCTACATGCTTTTGTGCATGCTATGTATAAGGAAAAAATGGCATACTACTTCACTATTTTCTGCAACCAGGAAAAAACATCATATAATTTAAGTAGAATATTTATAATATTTAGTTATGGAGTAGGTAGATAAGACTAAAAAGGACTTTTTCGTCCGAGAAGCGGAAAATACGAGGCCACTGGAAAAAATCTAAAGCCTCAAGACTCACACAAAGTGAGCACAGCAGAAGCAGTCAAAGCCTGGGGAGAAAAAAAGAGGTAGAAGTCTTCCTAACCCAGAAATAGGTCCGTCTCCCTGAGCTGCCGCCTAAATCACAACGCTGTAATTTGAGAGTTTTGTCCTTCACAGAGGAACACAGAAGAGCTGAACTTTTGAACCAAAACAGGACAGAACTTCTACCATAATCCTGTATGCTAAGCATAAGCTAAGGTCTTAGAAAAAACAACCCTTTAAAACCTTCTTCCAATTATTAATGAGATTATAAAGCCTTCTCATTCCATCTTTCTTTCCTAAAATGTTACTCCATGCTCAAATAACAAGATGAATTTGGTCATAAAGGCAAGAGGGCACGATTTGTTGGTACGTTTACCCTCATAACTAGCACATCTGATTTTCAAAAGAAAAAAGAAAGTTACTGTGGATAATGTGTAACAGAGAGACATTCTCAGAGATGGGCCTTTCTGAGAGGCTGTTTAGTCCGCCAGACACAGGGGAATGGGAAAAAGAATTATTGTGCTGAGCCTTCCATACCTAAATCAGTCTATTTTAAATTAGTCTTTTACAAGCGGGCAGCAGTTAGCTTTCCAGCATAAGAATCAAATCAACACCATTTTCCCCCAAAGCAAGGCCAGCCACAGCCAAAAAAAATCCAAAACACCTGTCACACAACCCTATATCCAGGTTTAGTTGCAAATATTTCATAAGTGTATTTATGCATAAACACACACTGTAAAAAGTTATTTAAGTTATTGTCAAATCTGATCAAAAGTTAACATACAAACTCTTACACCCCCAAGCTGAGAAAGTTAAGTTTATAAAACTTTAAGTCAAAAAGTTAATTCCACTTAAAACTTTAAAAACCTGTTTGTTAAACAGGTTAATAACATAGTTCATCAGCTAAAATACAGCAGCTGCTCTTAGTACATTTGTCATAGCAGTATTATCCCCTTCCCCAATCTGAGCCTTCTCACAGAGGTAAGAAAGTGTTATTTTAAAATGAACAATGTAAAAAGGGGATAAAGACCTTATTAGCTTTTAATTGTATTTTGTTTTCAACACTTTTTACCCAATACGCAACAGACACTTTCAGTTTTAGGTCCTACTTAAATATGACCATATATTCTCCATCTCCATCCACTTCCTCATTATTAAAAAATACATGGCTGTGAAACATACTATTAACTCCTAGCCAAAACATAACAGACTATTTTCCAGTGTAGAACATACAATATATTAAAGCAACATCCTGAAGCCAGGCATATCAGTAGCATAAGTGAAAACAAACAAGTTATTCTTTGTTAAATTCAAAAATAATAAAAAAACAATATAGGCCAATCTCCAACTCTTTAAATTTAATTTCTGCTTTATATAAGTTGTTTTGTTTACCTGCTAATGGCTTGTTCCTCATCTGTTATTCCAGTCTCCCTGAATGCCCTGTTTGATTCCTCCAAACTCAAGGCAATTGCCCTCTGAAGATCATCTTTATCATCTCCAGTGAGATCAATCACATCTGAAAAGCAAAACTATCTTTCTCAAAATTAAAAGTGAAACAGAATGAAAGGTAAGTCTTACTGTAGAGGACGCAGAACCCATGGGGATTGCTAAACTGCATTCAAGTCCATCCTCCTTGTGGCCTGCTTTCTGCCAATGACTAGCTATGCAAATCGCTCCCTTCCACCTCAAGGCCAAATAAAAATCCCAGTTGCTTTCTCTAACTAAGGTATGACTGAAAACAATCTTCCTTTCTCCTAAGGATCTTAAGTTTCATAAAGTGACGGGCCAAATTTATGAATCCATAGTTTCTGAAAGGCCCTTTAAAGCAATGCCTTTTAATGTATTACTTCAGCTACCATAATCAGTTGCTTCCAGAACACACACGATGAAAAAACAACTTTCTCATAAAAAGGATACCTGCACTGAGCATAGTTATTCTTCCTCCGCATGGAGAAACGTGCTGAATTTTCCCAAAGCACAGACAGAAGCCCCATATCCTACAAACATTTCTGTACTTCAGTGAGACAAATACTTTTTCACAGTTTTATAACTTGTAGGAGAGTTCCTTACTTAACCTAGTTCTTTTCTATTCTATTTGTGTATTCATTTTCTGAACACATTTAAATATATATTTAAATCCAATTTCTGTCTACTGGAAACCTCCCATCTCAACAGGAAAATTAAGAAAACAAAGTCAAAATAAGGATCCACGCTTCAGTAAGCGAGGCACGCTCAGTGGGCTCCTAACTGGGTAATAAAGACGAAAACAAACATATTTCTAACTTCTTCTCCGACACTAAAGAATCAGATGCTAACATTCCCTATAAGCCTCCCTGTTTCCTGTACACAGCAACAGCATTCCCTCTTCTGAGTAAACAGAAATGTCATTATTCGCATCACACTGCTAAACTAATCACTCCTCAGTGAGGCACAGCCACGCTTTCCAAAGTGGTCAGGGCCAACAGGGAATGCCTGTTAGCTACACGAGACTTTCCAAAGAGCCAAGGTCTTTGGTTATCATGATTTCCAGGGCCAAAAATCTCATTTTGCAAGTCAGCCAGATAGAAAGAGAGGGGAAAGTGCATAAGTGACCTTTATGTGCAATGTCAGACAGACAGACACGCACACATTGTGCTGGTACCCTGCCATTTTCACTCTGTCTCCTCCAAGGGCAAAGTTTACCCAAAGAACTATTAAAAGGATTCCTGTCCAGCCTGGGGTTTGAACATTAGAAGTTAAAAGACTATGGAAGAAAGAGAAAAAGATTCACAACTGCTGGCTGCTCACCAAAAAAAAAAAAAAAAAAAAAAAGATGAGCAGTTTGCTTGCATTTCTCCTCCCACTGGCCAGCTCAATAACTCATTCCCAAAGAGCTTCTCTTTTTAGCTTCTGACTTTTCTCCTGGATGGCCTGACTTACTGTAGCGCCAGCTTTCATTATTTCCCTGGACTTACTTGGCTGTGATATTTCTTGTTGGAGCAAAACAAAATACTGAACGTATGATACAACAATCATTTCCATAGCTGCATATTAACAGCAAGCAGGACCACTTGTGCTCATGGAAGACTGAAACTGAAGAGAAGTTGCAAAAGAAACTTTTCTGTTAACACCATCATATTCAAAAATTAATTTTTCTCCCATTTCCACATAATAATGCTGCTTTGTTGAATTTCAATTTAATTTAGCAAGCCTTTAAGCAAAGCACCCTTATCTGTAAAGTAAGCTGCACAAACTGTCATGATCTGGAAGTATGAAACAACACCACGACCAGAGAAGCAGCAGCACTTTATGTATTTTATTCTTATTTTCCTGTAGTCAGCTCAGATCCTTCGTTATGTCCAAACGATACTTCAACTCAAATGCCTAAAATTCTCCTTCAAAAGGACTGAAGGAATTATGGGAAAGACCAGCAGAAGTCACACCCACAGCAGCTTTGATATATGAGCTGTCATGTTGAGAACAATGTAGTTCAGGCTAAAATACCACCACAATCCTGGACACATGAGAATATGCCTTTGCTCTAGGATGTGACAGCAGAAGCAAGGGTAGAAAGGCCAGCAACGATGATGGCACTGTGTGGCTTCACACACTACCTATTAGGGTCTTAAAATATGTGACTATAGCTTATGTCTTATTTTCTACCCATACGCAGATATTCACACATCAGCGCTGCATCTCCACTGGAGACCTCCTGCTTTTCTGAAAGTAATAACAGTGGTTCCAACGGAAGATGGAGTAAGCTTCAATGTAACAGCCATATATGCTGCCAATGGAACTATGGGGTTACTCCGATCATTGACTTTCAGAGGAAAGATTCCTTCAGCTAGTCTCTTTTCAGCAGAGAGATGAAACTCTTACATAATGATAAAGAAAAAAGCCAGATTAAGAAGTGAAGTTCCTTATATGGGGAGTATTTTATAGAAGAATCCATAAATTAGCTGACAATGTGGCTGCTAACAAAAGCTCCCACTCTTATACAAATCAACACTGATTAAAAAAAACCAACACCCTATCAAGGTCAAATCCAACTAGCACTTTCATTAAATTACCCAATTTTTTGTACTGCCCTAGCTTCTTAATCTTTATTAATCTGTACCACCCCCTATGCATTCAGAATTTTATTACCATTCATATTACCAGTGATTACATTATTTTAAAATTAAAAACCAAAATTCTTGACTTCAGCATTCTTTCAGAAACCAATTCAACAGAATAGATGCTTCGCCACGCCAGGACTTTGGAGCAGACATTACAGGATTCCCTTTATAAATGCTATTTTCACATACACATTGTCTTTTTTATGCCAGTCAGGGACAATATAGTGAAGACTTGCTACCATATGTGATCAACGTAATTAATTCATGTCATGGAGGGTTCACCTACCATAACTTATGTCACAAGAATAAATTTCTAAGTATCAGATGATCCATGGTAACTGACTGAGCTTTTAGTTTATAGAAAAATGTGAAAGAAAGTGGTTGGGATAGTTAAGCTAATGTATTTTAGATCTTGTTTGCTGTACTTGGAACAGAGGCAAGGTCCTTTTCAGCATCTCTGCTGATACAGTAACTCATTAAGCTGCAACAGCTCATGTATGTCTTGCATCCTAACTGTAAAGAGGCGATCACAGCAGAACTCGAAACAGAAGTGACATGGTTGCAGTCTTATCATTTGAATACGGATTATACAGATGCACTTTTATTCCCTGAAATTCATGCAGTGACTTTTTTTTTAAACTCATATTTTGTAAATTCTTATGGGAAAATGATTTTTTTTTTTAAATGGAAAAGCAACATGTCTAGTTTTCAAGCAGTTACAAGTATAATCATTTTGCCTTCTCTCAAGATTGATAATAAATTCAACTCTAAACTGTATTTTTAAATATGTATTCCACTGAGATTGTATAGTGTCCAGCATTTATTTCAATGCAATTAGTAGTGGAATTCACCCACAAAACTCATCTACCGAAGTTTCCCATTTGATCAACTGATTTCTGTGTTCAAGTTTCGAGTACACGGCGGCAGGAGGAGGATTTTTAACCAAAGTATTTATCAGACATACATGTAAACTCAGAGTAGATTATTTTTTATTTTATAAACACAGACACATGATTTCTTGCCCACTAAGTTTCCTGTGATAGGCTGAAGGATGCAATTCACAAAAGTATTAAGAATAATGTCACATTTGCAAATTTACATTTACTGGGTTTTATTTGTGTGTGTTGATTTTGTTATACTCGTCATTCAGGCTGAAGAGCCCTTCAGTTCCTAATGGCTTCTCTTCATAAAGGTACTTCTTACTGTAAATCTCATAGTTTAAAAAAAAAAAAAAAAAAAAGGCAGCAAACGTCTTACCTAAGCCCTAACTACAAAATAAACAAATAAGTCTGTTCTGACAAAATTTTTATGAACTGAGAAAGAAACTGCTCCAAACAGTCTGGCTAAGCACATTCATGTTTATTCAACTAAAATTAATAGGCAGAATTAATAAGCTGTTTTGATAAAAGCAATATTTCTGTTTTTGCAACATATTAAACTGTAATGTGTGCCTCCGGTACATAAGAACCAGAGTCTACTATCCTTTATAATTACAGAAAAGCAATTAAGTTGTACATTGAAATTTGTGACAAATATACAAGTATATATAATACACATATATACATTGTGTTTGTGCACGCATGTGCACACACGTACCTTCTTTACTTAAAAACTTTCTTATTCGATATGCTTATTTAGGAAGTTTGCATCAGTTAAATAAGTCTTTCTTGGCAATTGCCTTGGTCATTAAAATAATTACGGTGTTATTGACTTGTCACTTGTACAGGGAGGAGGTAGAGGGTAGGAACTTCAAACATAAGTACGGTGGGAAACTCAGCATGAGGGACAGATCTGAAGTAGCGATTGAACACAGGGACAGGCAATAAACAACCACAGTGATGCAACTGCTGGCACAGAGAAAGAAAATAAGGGGGCAAGTGTGATGGGTTCAACGGATAGTTGCCAAGCTTGGAAAGGCAACAGCAAGGTTACAATTTCAACACACCAACATTATGGGGAGAGGAGGTGGGAAATCAGGAAGTTAAGATTACATCACTTTTATTTATTACTAGCAAAGCTAAGCAAGATCCTCTGTCCTATGGTCTACTTACTCTGTGATGTTAAACTTCACGGTGGAATTGAGTTGCTGTGTCTAGATTTAAAAGAATGCCGTTTACACCAATTTGGGTAAAAACTGAAGGGACTGAGAAAAAATATACTGTATCCTAACATTTGCTTAGCCAAATCAAACAGCTCTGATGAAATCTGTCTATCGATGAAAGAGCTAGCAAACATTAGCCATTGCTACCTTACTGGAACTTCACCTCAACTGCACTTAACACTTACACTGTTCTAGGATTCACCTTAAAGTGAGTATTCTCACGCTAACAGGAATGGGAAAGAGAGAAGCAGTCATGGAAAAAAGGAGGAAGTGAGCCAGCAAGTTCAAAGGAGGACATCGAGGCCTAAGACTCCTGACATTTTGCAGCAGGGACCCTGCCATACCAGCTGGAGACAGTCCCAGGAATCAGGCTGGGAAAAGACACAAATAATCCCCAAAACAGAAGGAAGTGTTATGAAGACACACAGGGGTATATGAGTTGGGTAAGGCGACAGAAGAAACTGGTGTACAATTCTACTCATACACCTTAATGAAACACACAGCTGTAAAACGAGGCCTAACTAGGACTCCTGCCAAAAAGGATCTGGCAGCTACAGCTGGTTCATGTTCAACTTGCAATTCTCATCATCGTAGTGTTGAAGGAAACAAAGTGTTAAACTGAAGTATATCAACAGAATATCATACATACGTTTAGAAGGATTTTTTCATTTTTCTTAATACTGTTAAGACTCACCTGGAGTCTTTTTTCTTCTTTTGAGTGCTGTAGTTCAAGAGGCAGAACAACTGACAAGGATCTAGAATTGGGTTCCTACACTAAGATTTAAAATAATATCGTATACGCCAATTTGGGTAAAAACTGGATGGGAGAGAAGGGGAAAGTGACAATAGGTACAGAAAATGGAGCCAAAGATGGAAAGAATTTGGGCTGCTTAGTCTAAAGCTGAGAAAACTGAGGGTAAGTAGTGACTAGCAGTCTCCAATCGTGCAACACTTCCGAGACAAAAGGAATGAACTGTACACTCCAATGACAGGGGATAAGACAGACTAAAGGGCTTTACCCGAAGTGAGAGGGATTTAAATAAGACATTAGGAGTAGCCTTCTCAGAGTAAGGACAGTGAAGCACTAAAATAAACTGCTTTATAAGTTCTTTTTTTCCTAGAAACTCTAGAAGGGAAGGGTTTTTTTTTTAAATAGCTTACATAAACATCAGTTAAGAAGGGTTAGGTGCAGTTAAGTCTGGCTTTGTGGGAGGGGGTTGACTAAATGACTTCAAAACCTATGCAAAGGACTCAAATTCTAGGAATAGGAAGATGTAAAAAGCCAGGCCCTAAGAAACCATGAGGTCTATAACCCTGGTGTGTGGCATTTTATAGTTACATTATACTATGCCCTTACCAAAAGGTTTCAAATCTTTTGTCTTGGCTGTGGAATGTGCAATTGCAAAGACTAATTTAGTTTTCATGAAAACGAATTTGCACATTTTTTGAGTTTTCAAAAGAAGGGTGGGAGAGAATTTATCTTGACAGCTATTTCATTCAAAGACAATTTTTCCAAAATATGCATCTTCCCTTCATTCTGCTGCTTCTTTTTGCTGCTGCAACTGGGTTCTGAAAGTTTCTCAAATAAAGAAAAGAAAATTGATACATGTTTAACAATGTGATAGTTCTGTTTTGCAGCCCCAGATGAATTACTGCAAATAAAAAACCCAGGTTTCTAGAGAAAACAACTGGGTAAGTGAAAATACTGAAAAGCATTACTAAACTTTCTTCTCTTGTTTTGCTTTGAATGCTTTGCGTAGGATTTATACTGCTAAGCAGAGCATTAAGGTGATCTTAGATTAAAAGGTGCGCACTTGTGCACAGCAACCTTATTATTTAAGCACTTTCTTCTCACTAACAGATTGTAGCAGGAAAAGAGAGAGTAACACCTTTGCAAAGGATCATATAACCTATGCACCATTTTCAATACGAAAAAGCTACACTCGCAGGTGCTGGCACATGCTGTTTTGAACATGCAAAAAGGCAGATGTCATGAATAATGCTGTGCAAGTCAGCCTTTGATTTTAAGAGAGGACTACATCTCTATGCAAAGTCTATTAATAGTTTTTGCAATCATCGAAATGTTGCATTTGCTAATAATTGCTTCCTTACGTACCGAATATAACTTTAGTGCTGAAGTAGTTAAATGACCATTGTCAGTTTTTGAAGATGTAGTGCACAATCCAGGCTAACAGCTGATTTCTAAGCTATGTCGTGCCGTTAAACATGCATTTATTTTGTCCCTTAGCTAATTAAGCATATTTCAAGGAAGTAGTCAAGCCCATAGAATGCATTAAATAAACCTTCATGCAGCGTATACATTCAAAAAACTCCATAAGTAGCTGGACTTTTTTTTTCTGGTATTGCAGATAGTTCTGATATTTATCTGTTACTCTTATTCCCAGTTTAGATGACTTAAAACTTGGTGGGACTGCAAACCTAGTCATAAGGGACTGCAAGCCTAGTCAATTTATAACATGGTAAATTTCAAATGCACGTAGATGGTTAAGCAGTAAGGAAAGATAAGGGTGAGGTATAATTATCTTCACGTAATTATACCTATGTGGGGTACTAAAAGGGATTCAAATAAATTTGGAAGGTAAGATACTGTCAGAAGTTCAGCATTACTGGTAAGTGGTAATAGCATTCTTTTCTGGCAGAAGGAAATGATGATGGTTGAAATGATCATTGCTGAATATTCTATTTCCAGCTATGCCCACCCTTCCATTTTCTTCTCTCAAATCATCCACTGTATTTCATCACATTCCTTTACATGACGGTGCTTACAAATGTATGGCCCTGCCACTTTAAATGCCACTTGCCCACTTTAAATGTACTACATTTGTGAACCAAGTAATTACAGTCAAGAAGATCAAAGAAAGAACTCTAAAAGCTTCTTGCAGAAAACGTGTAGAGTGTCTGCTTTATAGATTCGGGGTCCCTATGATCAGAGATTGGTAAAGCAGGGAGAATGGTTTAGCTTTTTGTTCTGCTGTAGGTGCTTAGTTCTTTTCCCATATTCCCTCCAATATGGAGAAATAAATTCAGCCAAGGTGCCTTTATCTCGTAACATATCTTCAGTTTATAACCTAAACAGCAAAGGCTGGAAAAAGGGCTCATTTTTGCTGCCAACGAGGACCTGATGGTCTGACTAGAGTTCATGTAAGGAATGTCTGTCTGCTTTTTCCACAATAGCCAGTGCTTCTTGATTACTGACTTGTAGTGCACTATCTAAGTATAAAGAGTTTAGGTTTGTCATCAACATCCCCCCCCCCAAAAAAAAAAAGAGAAGAGAACCCTGAAATTCAATTTGGAATCTACAATTCAAAATTAACTCTTTCCAATTTGACCATCAGTCATGGGTAATGTAGACTCTGCAGCTAGACCCTACTCCCTCTTATATCTCCTGTAACCTCTTATCTTCAATAAGGTTGCATAGCATATTAAGTGACAGTAAAATTTAAACACTTCTATTAACGGGATTGATAATACATCTAATGAAACATGAACTGCACCAGAACCCAGCTCACTGTTCCACTGTCATACCAGATCTTCAATACTGGAAACTAAGACGAGTTAGTAACTAATTAGTAAGTTAGTAAGTAATTAAGTTTGTTGTTGAGTAAATGGAGACTATTTTCAACAATTTTTTGACATTTAAAATTAACTATATCTGAGGTTTCTTTTTGTCTTTATAGACAAAAAAAAAATAAAAAATCCAAAATATTTTACTTAGGGGATAAAAGAATTCCCATAAAGCACTCTGTGCACTTTATGAAGGATGCTAATAATACTACAGATTAAAAAGTAGTTTCTAACCAGAGAATGCTGAAAGAAAACTCCTTCCTCACTAAAAAAAAAAAAAAAAAAAACCTAACCTTTAAAAATGTTTTTTTCAAGGTGTTAGAGACAAAAAAAAAAAAGGCAACTGTACAATGAACAATGAGTTCTAAGTAAACTTCTTTACAGTGTTGCTGCCATAACCATCCCAGTATTACTGAAACAAAGGAAAAATCCCACTTTGCATGAAGGCAAATATATTTACTCTTTTCAGTAAAGCTACACAGTTGAACACCACATAGCCAAATAGTTAATATATACTTAATTAAAAAATATTGGGTATCTATGTTTAAAATCCTGGAATGTAAATACAGTATCAAGAAACTCAGATTTTACATAGATCAATCCAGCTGCTTAACTTCCTTCCTCTTTTTCTTTCATCTTATTTCCCTTATTTATTTGCAGAATACACTTAACATGCAGGACTACAAAAAAGCAAAACTAGTTTATTCTCAACAGTTTCTAAATCACCTTTTCATTAAAAAGTACAATTGTTTTTAAATGTTTCTTCTCCTATGTTCTCAAAAAAAAGAACTATGCACTTAAATATAGGAGTTGAACCTGGAGACAAAGCAATATAAGGCTGTGGGATCTCCTGTATCAGTTAGGTTAAATTCTTAGAAGTGGAGCATTTTTAATGTTACTCTCACATAGAAAATACTTGCTCTTTTACTACAAAAATGCACATCTAACTTCTCATCTATCCTTTTGGGAAAGCCATCCCTATAAGGGAGAAACTACTCTAAAGTCTTGCTTTAGCTCATTAAAAAAATGCATTCGTGTGTAGTTACACTTGCTCTTTTCTAATTTTTTTGTTAGACTGGCAGGATGCCCAGCGTTTGCCTTTAATTATTTATTCCACACCCCCAAAATAAATTCTACAAAAGGCAAAAAAGCATGAAAACCCAGTTATTCACTTTCTGTTCAGTACCATAAATATTTGTTAAAGGTAGGCTTAAGGAGAGTTAAAATAAAAAAATATTCTGAAAGAAGGAGAGAAAGAATGAGTAATAGTCTAAAAATTGTTAAGTAAGATTTATCAGTCAAGATTAATGATAACCTTAGAGGCAAGGTTTTAGTTCCCTCTTTAAACTAAGTTTATGAAAAGAAAAATACCTACTCGTGTCTGCCTGGCTGCCCACACTGATGTATCTGTCATTTCCAGGAAGTGCTGTTTGATAGTAAGTTGCCTCCTCTTGCTGGGGAACCTTGGCATTCTTCGCAGTGAGGAAAGCCACAGCCAATTCCAAATTACCATTGCTGTCCTTTAAGCATCAACAAAAACAAGAAATAAAAGGCCTCATTTCTTTTTTGTTTTCTTAATAGTAAATGACAAAATTACAAGCAACTTATATGACCAATGACACTGTATTTTCAGGTGAAATCCTGTTAGAAAGTTTCCATACTTGAACCTCATTTTGCACACTTCACTACTTTTAACTAACTAGAGATAAGATGTAATAAAAATTTACTTTCTTAGAGCTCCACCTTCCATGGAAAAAACTTAAAAGTATCGTAGCATAGGTGAACTCCTCAACTAGTATAATGAATATAATCTCAAAGATTTCAACAGCAGTTAACTGAACTATTCTGAACTATTCATTTTTAAGGCTAGAGATACTACCTTTAGAGGGGCAGTTGTGTATATGACAGGGTGGGTCAGGATCAACAGTTTTATATATATGTAGGTATATATGTGTGCGTGTGTGTGTGGTGTGTGTGATTTAAATTGATTAAATGCTTATTTACCATGCATAAATGGCTGAAAACCTCTGCTCGAGGGAAATAAGGGATTTTTTTTCAGTTTTTGGGAAGTATAACGCAGAGAAACCCACTCTTTTTTACTTGCAGATTGTTTTGTGTTGTAAAAGGGCTTATGACTGTTGAAGAAACAGTGAAGTGATGCCAAATTAGCAAAGGGTGACAAATCTGATAAGAGTTTTGTTTTACATATTGAATAGGGACCTAGCCCCGCTAGAAAGCTTAGCCAAATCCTGACAAGGAAGTAAAGAGTTCAACCATCAGGAATTGACCAATTATATTAGCATCAAGGTATCTCAAGACAAGTTAAACAAAGGTTACCTTCAAGACAACCTGCACCATTTTTATCTTTTAATTGTTTGAACACCAGATCAATTTTTCTGTCAATATTGGAACACATCGGGTTTGCTTCTGAAGTGAACAAGCCACCATTAACAGCTTTTTTCCCCCAAAATACATCTAAAAAGAATTCAAGTTGGGGAGGGAAGGAATGGAGGAAGAGGAAGAAAGGGTGGGTCTTACAGCTTGCACAGGCAGTTAACAACAACATGTATACATTTAGCTGCAAGTCAAACATTTACCAACATTCATCTTACCTTCAGGGCCTGTTGTAGTACCTGGATGTCATTGATACCGGTGATCTCCCTCAGCTGATTCAAAAATGTTTGCTGGTGCTAAAAACAAACACACAGAACATCAAAATAAGATCCGAGTAGCAGTAAAACTACAATGCTTTTTTTTAAAAAAGATGGAGGATGATTAAATAGCTTATGCAACATAGGTGCAAGAAGTCTATATAAAGCCACAAATGGCCATCCTAAACCAACCAATTGCAGTACTTGGTCTCTGAAGGCAGCAGGGGAAGTAGTTTATTGAACTTGGATCAAAACTGGCTTCAAGTCCCAATTATCCTCAACCCCAGTATTTCCTTAACATTCGCAATTACCAGCCATTCAAACTTCAAAACTAGAAAGTCATTTTTAACCAAATTAAAAAAAAAAAACAAAAATATCCACGCAAAATAGTTTCTCAAGACTAAAGCAAAACACCAGGAATCAGTTATAACCACATTCCTAGACCAGTTGATTCCAACTCTCAGAACTCGAAGTTAACCAGCTCCCACGGCTAAGTTTTAAGTAACACATAGTTCTAAAAGAACAAAAGGTTGTGTGAAGCTTAAATACTCACTTAATATGAATTCTGAGGAACAACCTGTTCCTACCCCCTGCTCTCAGCCAACAGATGACTTCCTCTGCTCATCCTCAGATATCACATCTTTCATTTTGCAAAAGCAAAAAGTAGGCATTACTTTGGAATAATTCTTGAACTTCACTTAACCATTAAAACCATGAAAACACAAAGGACTGACCACTGTTCCAAACTAACAAATTCCATTCTTCCTTTGGAGGATGGGAAAAAGACAAAAAACTTGGTGGCATTCACAAGTGTTTTTTCTTTATTGTTTGCCCACCACATCCTGAACTCAAAACAATGATTTCATCTGTAAAAGAGAATTTATAGAGTTTTGTTTGCTAGACAAAAAAGCATATTTCCTATCAATGGCAATTAAATGCTCTCATGTTACTCTCCAAATTTAATAAAAAGCAAATTACAATTGTCACGCAACTACTTCTAAAATACTTTTATTTAACACAAATTATTTGGAATCGAGTATTCAAATACCCTTATTCTCTCCTAGCGCAGCTTTGTACAGAGGAGGAAATTAAGAGTTGCCTGAATGCTGAATTCTCCAGTGCGAAGTTAACCTGGCAGGCACTGCTTCATGCCCTAATAAGTAGGAATAGAAGGCCTATAGTTCAGTGTTTATGAGTTACATACACAATCTTCCTTTCATTCATGATCCTAAAGGGACACTGTTAACAATTCAATTTGCCCCCACTCCCCCTCTCCCTTTTTTTTTCTTTTCTTTCTCAAACCCTGCTATCAGCACAAGACAAGTGAAGTAATACAGGAAAAAAACCTCTCACTCCATCTCTGTCCCCCTCAGCCCCTCGTTTGTTTACTCTGTGCATTTCATAGCATTGTACAAAGGCAGGAGCTACTTCCTCTGTCAAGTTGCTTTCCTGTCTATGGGTCTGGCATGAAGAAAGAAAAAAAAAAAAAAACAATATTTGGGAAAAGTAATTACAAAAGCATTAAAATTGGCAGGAACGACTCAAGGGCAGTGAGGAACAACAAAACTGATTTATTTTTGTATTAGTCACCAACATGACGGTTACTAAAATGAAAATAGCTGCAATATAAATTATGCTTTCACATTATAACATACATCTATATCTTCCATAACATTTAGAATATTTTGGATAGGCCGAGATGAGCAGGAGGACTGAACAATTTACTCTGTTCACACAGACTGGACGAAGACTAAAGAGAAGTGTTTTACCAATATACAGTCCTAGCAGCTCAAAATATTGGCTGTTACTTTAAGAGCACAGCTTTGATTTATAAACCTATACATGTGCAGTTTATGTCCCGATTTCAGGCCTCAAGCGTAAAGTCGTGGTTCTAGAATATAGTTGTGTGTTCCCAAGAATATACACGCTTAGCAGATTAAGAACCAGATGCAGAGATACTCCTTCCCCAGCAAGACTCAGCTCCAGGATTTCTGGTTGATAGTTAAGTGAACACCACAGAATCCATACGAACCCTTGTTACAAATGATAGAAATTAAGAGGAATATTAACAGCTATCCTGAATATCTTAATGGGAGCGAGGCTGCTTTGGGGCCACCAACACTTTATCTAGACATTTCTGGCTTTTAAAACGCAGGAGACCTCATACTGACAAGCTGCCATTGATTTCTAATTGAGTTATTTCATATCACACACGCATTTAATAACAACAATACACTTCACTTCCTGGAAGGAGAAGAAAAATAAATAATAAATAAAATAAAAAGAAAAGTACAATTTAAATTGCTTCCAGCTCATCAACGTGTTAAATACCTGCTCACAAGCAACACTAAAAGGTCTTCGGAAACAATTTTGAAACTGCACAAGGCAGTTAAATACTCCTTAATCCTCCACTATGGTGCCCTTCTTTCCCAGGCATCTCTTGCAACTGCATGTGTAACTTGACCAATATTGACCAGTATTTCCCTTTACAGTTATACTGTAGATACAGTTCCATGGCTGGAAACGTACTGATACATCATTAACAATGACAGTGCAGGTAATTACTATCAGATCCTTTCCACGTTCATTAATCAGAGGGCGAGATTAAATTTTCTTGTTGCCTTTTTTTCTTTTCAGCTACATTTAAGAAGTTTAGGACACATAATCGTACCCACATTCACAGAACTGACGCTACTTGATTCTGATACGACTTTAATGTAGCGTATCAGCATTAGGCTGCCATAGCCAAAACTTCAGTGAGGCCTATTGTCTTTGAATTAATCCCTTTAGAACACGTTAGCATGGTGTATAGGATGATTTTTATATATTTTATTACCTATGACTGAAACTTGTAGATCATTTTCTAGCGAAACTGTTAAAACTATTACACGTGTTCTGTAACACAACTGTTATTTAACAAAATACTTAGGCCAAAGTTCTGCATACAAATTGAGCCATCCTTCTAATTCCTTCTGGTTACACCTACAGCAGAAGCTTTGATCTTCCTGAAGCTTGGGCTAACTTAAGTTGAAGTGACTGTAGTACATAAACTCTGAAACATCCATGAACACTAATGTAGATATTTTAAAGAGGAGCTTAATTCACTTGAGGACTTATCAAAAATAACCTAAACCTCAGAGCTCATGCTACAGCAAAGCAAAACTAGAGAATGAAGAAGAAAATGCATACGGGTATTTAATGTAGATGCTTCAGCTCCTCACAATGTACATTAATCAAATCAGGTCAATGAAGGAGATTTAGAAAACAACTACCAGTTTTAACCTAAAGAACTCTGACTCTCCTCTGATTACACATTTTCTGCAATATTGCATTAGTACAGCTTCAAATTCTGGATCACAACTCACTGTATTTTATTTCAACTTAACAACCCATCTCGATCTTCAAATGCAGATCCAAAACATTATTACAATGGAAACAGGAGCAACCGCTGGTGCTAAGAAATCCACTTCAGTTCTTCTCGGATCTTATTTACCTATTCCCCTTTATATTTGCCATTCTTGCCTCTGCAGTTTCAAATTTATATTCCACAGTTTACCCATTCCACAGATGCTGCAGTTTATTTAGTAATAAAATGTTCCACATGTATTCACAGCGTACACGTACTGTGTGGCACATTATAAACGCATGCACATACAATATGTACACGCACACACCCACCTGGCTTGAATTGCATTTGAGTCGACTCAAAAAGGGCTCCAAGGCTTGGTCTACCTCATCAGGCTATGCTGGTGTAAGTGCTACAGGGCAGCCCGAATCCTTGATCATGGGAAAGAGAGAGGACTCAGGGTCTGTTGATGCTGTAGTTGCTCTGAGATCCAGCTGTACATACCCCTCAGTCCCATCACATAATACCGCAAGCAGTTCCCCAAGGATTTTATGCACGAGTTATTCCCAGCATAGCCTCTTCCTTTGGCTCTCTGAGGTATGTGGTATCTTGAGGCTTTCAGCTCTCAGAAGATTTTAACTAACAGGAAATTCTCCCGTTTTCCTGGATGAATGCCAAATTTGTATATTAGGAATGCCTGCCCGTATTTCCAATTGTTTCCTCTTTCAGTCATACCTCCCTCCCTCTCAGGAAATGCCCAATTAAGATTATCTTGTTTATAACCTCACACAATAGTCTATTCAGTAGCTACGCCAGTACTAGTAAAGCAGCCCATGTTAGTTCCACAACAGTACTGTAAACTCTGAAACTTGATAACTTATCAAGATCAGAGACAAAAGTTAAATTACATCAATGCTTTTTTTCGGATAAAGTAAATCCCACAAATCCACTAATTCAGAATTACAATGTAGATACATCTGGAAAAAAATATTGCTACCTTTTGATCTGTTTATTTTCTCATCTCTAACTTCTGAAGAAATAAAAGCTTTGCCTTTCTCATGGCAACATCCAAATATCATATTTGCAACACGAGCACTGTAAGACTGACAAGATAGAACATCCCTCTTCTGTTTATCACTAAACATATGACTTCGTCTGTGCTTGGAAACTGGACGGCCCAAGAGAAAACAGGGCCTACTGCTTCACTACACATTTCATTTGAGGAACAGCACATGATGAAATCGAACTACAGGAATCTCTTCTTTCTCAAGGAATGAATACTTATAGTAAAGGGGAAAAAAAAAAGAGAGAGACAAGACAAGAAAGCAAGATGAATGCTGAGAATAACATCTCAAGACAGTTCCTTCACAACAAATCCCACTCGCTTTGCTTTCACACGCAGCATTGACTCACAGGAGTTATTTGTTAGAGGAAAATAGGATGGACTTTGCACACAGTATTTAATATATATTGGAACAGAGAAAAATTTTAATAGAAATTGACCTTTGGAGGAACTGTTAGTGGTACTGTCCGTAGACAAGTAGCTAATAAGGTAGTTTTATCATACAATACTGCTGTAATGTAAAAAATATTGAGATATCAGAGGAATATAATCCTCTGCTCTATAAAAAGTCTTTCAGTTTCTGCTCCAACAAATCAATTTGAAATAAACACACACACACACACACACAAACCACACACACATAGAGGAAACTTATAAAGGATGAGCATACCAAACATCCTCAACTACTACTGAGAATGTCATTTTCTGCCACATTACTCATATCTCCTGGGAACGGTTAAAAAGCCCACATACACTACTGACCATTATGGTTTCCAACAACACAGATATACTATACATCATGTAAATGAGTTATGGATAAAGTTCCAAACAGGTAAACAAAAGCAAACTCCTTCCATGAAGATAGTAGGCTAAAACACTGGGATAATGCACAGCCAACCCCAGAAGTCTTTGTTCTTACCATCTCTGTCGGAAAGATTTGCCTGCACGTGCATGCATGTATACACGCATATCTACATATATAGGAAAATGCAGTCTTTTGTCAGTGCAAAGAGCAAATTTTAAATCCCTGCATTGGCTTTAAGGTGTTCACTCTTGCAATATCTTCCTAAAGTATAGCAGAAGTAAGTCTCACATATCTGCTAAATGGGTTTGTTTTGGTTCAGTCTTGAACAGAGAAACCTCTTATATGATATTGTGTCCTCTAAGAAGTAGGTCAAAATGTAATTTTATTTTTTATACATGCACAAATGCAAAACGCACCTCAGCCTTGGCTTGCTCACCTATGTGGAGAAAAGGATGCGCACAGAGACTGCAAACTTTCAGTCAGCAATTGCTCTGCTAAGACTGCCAAAAACTGCCAATTACAGCAGCAGCCTGTGTGAAGCGGACATTTATCGACCTGGAACTGGACAGAGATCAAACTTATTTCAAGCAAATAAAAGGACACGACGCTATATAGCCGTAACATTCAGCCAGTCACAATCTGGATTGAACACAAGTCTGAAGGGGAAAAAAGCTTGAGCCTATTAGATGCATGTGTTCTGTTCTCCCTGAATGAGACCCTACAGTAAAATCTCTTCTATTGCTTATGTGGGAGAACAGTAAAGGAAAAGTGAAGTACCTCCTCACTATATGGATCTTCCCAGGCAAGTTTTGGGGTGTTAAAGAATTGAAGTAATGATGCAGACAGAATGTCTGTACCCAATGGAGCCTCTTCCATAAGATGGAGAGCATTAGGCAGTTTCTGAAGCAACAGAAACACTTTTCTGACTTCGAGGAGGGTAATGGATTTTATCTCATTTTCCCCTCAAATCAGAGAAGTACCGAAACTCAGTCCTAGACTCAGGCTCAATTGCTTTCAGTTCCTTTACCTGGATTACAACTAAATATGCTAAATTCCCATGATTAAGAGATTTTTTTTTCCCCCCGGGGGGGGGGGGGGAAGGGAGCAGGGAGGGTAAAACAGTGGCTGAAGACAATAGCAGTACTCGTTATAAAGACAAAGCAAAAGTAAACACTAGGAAGGGAACAAAGCCATTTAAAGTAACTTACAAGGACAAGATAATAAACAGTGTGATCTACCACAACAGAAATGTAAACTGGTTCAAAATCTTGTAATTTCCATCCAAGGTTTAGAACCAACCTTCCTAAATGGAGGGGAAAAAAAAGGAGCAAACAATAAAAATGTAACTGACGTTCCATCTCAAAATCAGCCTATGAAATGATTTATAAACATTGTTGCTTGAAAGAAGAAGTAGGCAAAGAATTGCTTAGCTCTAATTCTAATTCTTATTGATAATTACTCCTAATTCAGCTTCGGTGACAAGCTCACTGTCAAGAAAGCATAGCAAGTTTTCATCCTTAATACTACACTCAAAAAGGTGAGAACAAAAGGTGTCAGGAATGTAAAATTTTGGGGAATTTTGCAGTTTTTGCATTTTAAACCACCATCATGATTTCTCACACCCTGCTCTGCATAACAGAGAGCACTTCCCAAAGAAACAGTGTCAAGTTATTCTTTGCTTCTTACTCTGCTGCTACCATAATAACAACAATTGTAAAATAATTAATGTAAAACTAATGAGATCTTTGGTCTCATTTAATTAGAAGTTAAATTTCACATCGTATCCAATGGAACAGTCATAGGAAAGTTTGCTTTGTTTCTTATGTACTTCAGTAACTGTGACAATAATTAGCAAAAACCTCTCTCGTCCAATTAAAAGTTGATGTGTTATTAGAGTTTCGGATCTTTTCTCACCAAAGTACAATGACACATTATCTGTAAACTAAGTTATGACATTCAGAAAGAGTCCTCTGAGAATTCACGTGTAGACAACCGTCCAATGCCATATCCTGCCCAACTGTTTGAATGTTGGTTAATGTCCCAGCCCCATGTCTGCACTTTCAGACCGACATCAAGAGAACTGACAATGGTATATACAACAAGCCATGGGAAATTAAAACCAATTGGGTCAACGAGAGGCCATGCTAAACAGAAAGGATAAAGAGACTGAAGGAGGACAGATTTAAATAGAGTCAACTCTCTTAATAATTCTTTTTCTTTTTTTTTTTTTTTAATTTCAATCATTCCTGGTCGCTTTCTAGCATAGAAGGGTATTTTTTTCCTCCCTTCCCCCCCCATTCTGTTCACGGACATTTACCATCACACCCAGATGATGAACTTGACAGCATCTGCCGATGCAATATCACTGGGATAAAGCCTTCCTCCACACAGGAAACACTACTGCCTAGGATATCATAATTTTACTGCCTCAACTATTATAACTGCCCTTTTGCATGTCTTGTAAGCAATTCATGAAACTTTGTCTTTCTGAGATCCAGAACAATGCTGTGAAAATCCACATTTTTAGCTTCCTGCTTTGAGATACCTTTTTGGCATCCCAACTACAGCTCAATCCATCATGCCAAGCACAAGCTATTCTGGTTCACTTTCAAGCCTCTTCAGAGTCTTTTCATTACCCATTCATCATTTGTTTGTTCATCGAGAGGCTAGGACCTACCTCTCAATTCAAGACGGCAGATCTGGAAGCCCAGTCAGGTGTTTAGGTTATTTAATGTTGTTTTTTCCTTTCCGTCTTCAAACAACCGTCATGATTTCACACTCTGCTCTGCACAACAACGATAAACTCCCAATAAAAACGTGTCAAGTGAGTTCTTTGCTTCTTCTCGCTCTGCTGTTTATGATGATAAGAGCAAAAATCCTGCAAATAAACAGCCAAACTCATTCTGGAAGCTGCTAAGGTGCTCACATTGACAGGATCCTGGTCTCTGCAATACTTGAAAATAATAAAGTTTAAAGCAGCCTTTGGACCACAGGCTGCTCCTGAGCAGCCAGATGTACTTCCAAGGTTGTAGCTTCCTGCCAACGTAAGCCAACCTCTGCTGATATTGCCAGGTCCCATCGTCTTTCACCACTAGGCAAGCCTTCCTTTGAGCTAATACTGTCACCTGTTTGAACCCATGGCAAGCCAGCCCAAGCTCTCACTAAACCAGTAGAAAGCTTATCTTTATTCTTAATTAATTACTTGCTGACTTAGTGAGAACCAGAGCTGGCACAAAGGAGAGGACAAGCCCAAGGCTCTGCCTATTTGGGCTAGATTAAACTGCTCCAGAAAAGCAGCCGTATGAGACTGAGTTGTTTCTCTGCCTTTGTTTTAGTCTTATTTTCTATCAAGTCAGAGAAACTGGGGGGGGGGGGGGGGGGGGGCGGAGTTCTGCTCTTGCAGTCCTTGTCCTACTCAGATGTTGTTTCAGAAATTCTACTCCAACAGACAAAAATAAAATTAATACAGTATGCAATTCTGATTACTACAATGGTCAAAACTGTACACTACACTACTATACACACCAAGACCTATTTCTGCATGTACTGAAACAGCATGCTGCTGTCTACTCCATGGTACTCACACCCAAAAAGATCACTTTTATTGCAACTGTCAACAGCATGAATAAAGATTTCTCTCACCTCAAAAAAAAAAAAAAAACTCTGCTGTGTGCCTTATATAAGTGATATCATAAAGCATTTCACAAACTAAACTTTTCACCCCAACTTTGCAACAGTACTACATGAAAATCCTAAATAAAAACTCTACTGCACTTCTTAAGACAGGTCTTTATGACAAAGAGTCCATGGTGAGTAGTGAGGACACATTTTGGCAAAGTGATTTCACTCAGCCGCCTGATTTGACTAGAGGAAATGAAAAAAAAAATAATAGAAAGGCTTTAATTAAAGGCTTTTCCATTTAGCCTGATTAAAAGAAATTACTAACCTGATTTCCTATAGGATGCAATGCCAGTGCAGGCCCGTACCCGTGCACACCTGCCCTTCTGCCTCTCAGGAGCAGCAGATGGAGGAGCCGGAGGCTAAACCCAGGCAGCTCAGCCTGAGCCTGGTGGCCCCCGACACACTCAGCAGCACCCCTGGGGCTGCACAGTCCAGCCCATCCTGTAGCTGGAGGATGGTGCACAGCTGGCCAGCAGCACACAGCTCCAGCCCGCACTGCCTGCTGCCCACTTCCCAGGCAAAATACACTAGGTAAAAAGACCCACGGAGCCAGGGAAGAGGAGGGAAACCAAGAACTGGGGGCACTGCAATAAGGGATCCTGGAGGTACGCTTACGCTGCAGCCTTACTTCATCTCCCCTCCAGCACCCCAGCAAGTTTTCAAGGGAATTACATTACAACACAAAAATCCATCATAAGAGAGAAGTCAAGTAACATTATTTGCAGTATTCAATGGAATGATTTAATAGCATATTTTGCCCCCCTACTAATCATTTCAAAAGAAAATCCTGTGCAGACACACTGTTATCTTGGGGAGTGCGGGAGGGAGGGAAATTCTGCAGTATAACAAGACCATAGATAACACTACGTTACCTAAAAACTGAGGCAGTATTTAACAGGTTGCCTGCAAGGCTGTAGTTTTCTGACAACAGTTCCAATTTCTCTAGCAAGAAAGTCTTTTCTAAGACAAACACCAGGAAGCCACTGGCACGTTTTGTCCCTGCAGAAAGGCTACTGCAACACTACAGACTATCAGCCTGTGAAGGTCAGTGGGTAACTTTCATTTTTGCTAGGTAATAATCTTAACAGATGCGGATCATTAGAATTAAAATGAACCTCAAACACAATGGAGACATATTAAAAGATGTGTTGAGATTTCTACTCAGGATCAGCATTTAATTTCACTACCTCACAACCGAAGGGAAAAAAAAAAAAAAAGTTTAGCAGTACTCTCCAGAGAGGACAATTGTTCTAGGCCACTTTCCGTCAAGGAGAAAAAAAAAATCTTAAGACTCTTGCTTTTTTTTAAAAGTGAATTTCTCATACAGTGAAACATGCAGTATGTCAGCTTCCACAGAGAAAAAGCTGAACATGTTATATTCTAGTTTATTAGAACATGGTTTCATGAGTCTTATGACAACTTTGGTTTATAACTGCTGTTTCTTATAATTTAGCCATGTCAGTCTCTTGCATCTCAATAGTGTCATGGTAACATCACAAATAGTGACTTACTGCCACCCTTCATCACCACTCACTTAACTGAAACTTCATAGGCTGACGTGAGTAAAAGGAGTACGGAAGACTCCTCTGAAGAGATCTCATTTTTGAAAGATAGCTTGAAACATAAAATTATAATGCTGTGTCACCTTCCTAGCAGCAACATTATGTCAACACATTCCCCAACAAACATTAGAGATATCACGCCCCAACAACAAAATTTGCAACCCACTCAGAAAGGTCACAAAGCAACAGCCCTCAGCATCTTTGCCGGGCACAGAAGGCAGCAGCAAAATCCTTCCCCAGTCTGAAGTACTGCATCAGAGACTATACATTGCATACACATCTTCTATGAGCACTACCGAGGAGCTGGCACAGTCACCAGACTTCACATCTTTTTGCGGGGCTGCTTCAAGGTAACATCCCAAGTTAACAAGAGCTGCAACTTGTGACAGTCCAGGGAATCTGTCCATCTTCTAAATCTGTTCATCAGTAACTCCAGAGGTTATCAAGTAGGTCAACAGACTGGTACCCAAAGAAGCAGCCCAATCCACTTTGGCTGAGGGGATAAGCATGATTCAGCCAGGGCTGTCACATTAAATGCTCTGTAGTTTTCAGGAAAAAAAAAAAAAAAAAAAAGCAAGCTATAAACTTAGGTGCCCTAATCAAATAAGCTCGCAGATGACTATCAACAAATAAGGAGAAGGCTGTAATGTAAGAAAAGAAACTGGTAGTGGAAAAGTCTCTCAGCAAAGGCTGCACATTTACAAAACCAAAAAGAGCATGGCCTTCAAACAGATGAGAAATTACAGAAGAGACAGAAGCAGAATTTACAGAAAAGCAGCCAAGAAACTGGAAAATAGATTCTACCAGGGAAATGCAACTCTCCACAAATAGTCCAAAAGCTATTTAACTTTTTAAAATAATAATAATAATAATGATTTACAAGTTTACAAGCTTTCCCTCATATATTTGCCTGTACAGAAAAAAGAAAAAATTAAATCTGCAAAATAAAAAAAATGCTTTCTCAGTCACAACGTCTGGGATGTGATGAAATATACAGCACTCAATCCTCTAACCAGGCCATTTATACCTGTGCACTTTGAGAACTTTAAATTTTATTTTAAGAAGTGACATCACAGCACCTTCAAGAGCTACAGCTGTGTTCCCAGGAGAAATATCTTTTTCAAAGCAGCTGACTTGCAGATGAATAGAGTGAAATTGTGAACGTGAAAGGAAAGAAGTAGGAGTCTGTTCTCAGTATCACCTCTTCTTCTGAAAACAATGAGGAATGCCACGTGCCCATGCACACTCATGCCTTTCCAGCTATTCACCTTAAGGCATTCTCAAAGCATATACCTGAATGTAAACGAATACCAGGCTCAGCCTCCACATAAGCTCTCTTCTTTTTACTGGCTTACCACAGCAAAAAAACACACCTAAATTGAACTTCTCCAAAATGAACTCATGCAAACAATTGTACTGAAATTTAGAAAGAGTGATTTTTCATCTTGAGAATAGGAATGGAAATTTTTATGCTAGGTATGTCACTTTTCTTGAAGTCATACAGCTGTGAAAAGAACAGCTATCACAGAAACCATGTGCAAAGTCAAGTCTAGCATGTACTATTGCCCAAAATCAATGGCGGGTATTATATATAGCCACATAATTCACAATCCAAAACTTTTCCATCTCAGATCCTAATGACAAGTGAACATTTTTTGTGAATTAAAGGGAGCCTCTGGATTACAGGGTACAAAGCAGGAGAAATTACAACATAGCAATTGGCAGGAAGGAGCCACAGAGGTATACAATGCTATTACATCACATGCCTTGATCTAGGCAGAGTTTATGGAAATTAATGCAAGATATAATCAATCAATTAAATTTAAATAGCTATGGATCAGGCCTTTAAAACATTACTGCCTCTCTGAAAGGCTTGTAGTAAACATATTATTCTGCCTAACGTGCTTAATGTAAAACTAAAAAATATGTTTTCACCTGACGGTTAAAAAAAGTCTTAGTCAAGGATATTATAAGCACAATTTGCATTTACTTAAAACCTACTCTTGATAAACTTGACTGTTGCCAATACGTTGTTAACAGAAACATTTTGAAAGAAATGTTGCGCAGGGTATAATTTTTTTCAGCAAGCATCTACCAGTTAGAGTAATTTAGAGACCTACTATAAACAAAAGCATTAAGTCAAAGCTGTGCATCTCAGAATAAGAACCACTACTAGAATTTGCTGCTGGATATTTCTGTTGCCTTAAAAAGTGTTTACATACATAAATTGATATGAGGCATTGTTTCCAGAATTGCACCTAATTGCACTGCAGCCTTCAAATTATTCTACATGGCATGTTCTTTGGACTTCTTCTCTCTAACATCTTTACTTTATGAGAGTTATGTTGAAACTGCATAAATGCAGTGATGCCATCTCCAGGGAAATGCAACTCTCCACAAATAGTCCAAAAGCTATTTAACTTTTTAAAATAATAATAATAATAATGATTTACAAGTTTACAAGCTTTCCCTCATATATTTGCCTGTACAGAAAAAAGAAAAAATTAAATCTGCAAAATAAAAAAAATGCTTTCTCAGTCACAACGTCTGGGATGTGATGAAATATACAGCACTCAATCCTCTAACCAGGCCATTTATACCTGTGCACTTTGAGAACTTTAAATTTTATTTTAAGAAGTGACATCACAGCACCTTCAAGAGCTACAGCTGTGTTCCCAGGAGAAATATCTTTTTCAAAGCAGCTGACTTGCAGATGAATAGAGTGAAATTGTGAACGTGAAAGGAAAGAAGTAGGAGTCTGTTCTCAGTATCACCTCTTCTTCTGAAAACAATGAGGAATGCCACGTGCCCATGCACACTCATGCCTTTCCAGCTA